CACTCTCCATTTTGGGTCCGACACCAATGTTATATAAGTCTCGTGGTGGTGGTGCACGTCTTCATCTTGGACACTCTTATCTTAATGCAAAAGTTAACAAGAAACATATATTGACGCAAGCGTCAAAAATCGGCCGCAAACCAGTTAGTTGATTCTTTCATGAAGCATTTAGAAACTGTATTCTTATATTTATCTGTTGAATAATATATCCCTGTGACATTAAACATTTGAATGCGACATTCCAGGATTTCCTTCAGTATAATACATGTACATTGCTACATGTACATAAGAATAGAAAGAGACGCAATCCAGGATCATTATTCTATAGTTCTATATCGCTGTTGTAAAGTTTGAATTCCCAGCTGCTACTTTTCTCTTCCTTTGCTGAAAGTAAAAACCAGTGGAGCTTCAGTGTCGACAGATACTTCTGGTTTGTTAAACACTTAGGCACTCTTTTAAAATATTCTATTACATGAATGTGCTGGCGGACGGTAATGAAAATTACATTTTAACAGCGTCTTTGATAAATTATCAAACACGATTTTCTTTAAAAGCCTAAACAAAGAAAAAGATAGTCGCACGAAATTGACATGCACATTACATGTAGGTCTCCTTAGTTCCTGACGTATCGTTTGGCGAAGTTTTTACATGCCGGCAGAATGATCAAAAAATCAAATAAACTAGTTCAACTTTCAAAGAGTTATCACAGTGAAAACAAGTAGAAAAGGAAATATTTTCATTTTTATATCGATAGATTTAATGCGTAACTATATTGTTTTTGTCCTGTCTGTCTATCTGTCTGTTTGTTTGTTTGTCACGAACTTTAACCTTCACCATATAACTTTTTAGCCATGAAAGATAGAGACTTCATATTTGGTATGCATACTCCACTAATTAATTTGAAATGACACACCAAAGTCTATGACCTTGTGACCTTAACTGTGGCCTATGTGCTAAAAATAGCCTTTTTCCTGCAAACTTTAACCTTGGCCATAACTTTAGAACCATGAAAGATAGAGACTTCATATTTGATATGCATACTCCTCTAATCAGGTTCTTCCAGATGACACCAAGGTCAATGACCTTGTGACCTTGACCTTTAAGCTAAAAGTAGCTTTTTCCGAATTTTGCTGCCGCCGGGCGCATGGTGTTTCATAAACACATCTTGTTTCTTTTATATTTTTCAGTATTCCCATCTAACATTTAAAATCATTTTTTAAGAAAATGTATACAAAATCCCATTTGATTAATTAATGCGTTATTGAAAAAGCATACGACGCTACCCCTCCTGAAGTGAAAATCGAAAATTATCTTTAATGTCTCTATCGCGCATCTGTCGGAGACATGATTCTCTTGTGTGGAGCTAATCTGTATGTTTATCCTTCATATAGAGATTTTACTCAAACCTTTTAACAAGGCAGCCCTAACCTTCAAGTGACCAGTTGATAATAATTAAACTCCCGCTCCAAAGGAGATGGGGGTATACTGTTTTACCCTTGTGTGTCTGTCCGTCTGTTTGTATGTATGTCCGTAACAAATTTTCGCAGTTTTCTCAGCAACAACCCATCGCAGATGCTTGAAATTTTAACACAATCTTCTCTGAGGCATGTCATATATTGGGATTCATTTCTGTTTAAATCTTATGTCACCTTCCTGTTTGTCCGTGCGTCTCTCTGTTTTATACATGTTTTATGCATAACGAATTTTTCGGTGCAATTTTCTCAGCAACTACTACATGTAATTGCAGATGTTTGAAATTATAAAACAATCTTCTCTGAGGCATGCCATATTGTACCGGTGGTATTCATTTCTGTTTCAATCTTAATATGTCAACTTTCTGTTTGTCCGTGCGTCTGTCCGTTACATACATCTGTCATGCATAAGAAATTTTCGTCGTAATTTCCTCAACAAACATTTAATGCAGTTACTTGAAATTTTAAGACAATCTTCTCTGAGGCATGCAATCTTCTCTGAGGCATGCCAAACATAACAAATTTTTGTCACATTTTTCTCAGCAACAACTCGATGGTTGACATTTTAGCACACTCTTTCGTGAGGCATGCTATATGGTTTCATTTTTGTTTAACTCTGATGTCAAATTCCTGTTTGTCTGTGCATATGTCATTTTCATAAATTAATAAATTTTCGTTGCAGTTTTCTCAGCAGCTACTTATAACAGATGCATGATATATTAGACTACATACTTTGTTGAGGCATGCAGTATGGTTCGACTCATTTTTATATGTATCTGATGTCAAATTCAGGCACGTGCATGTAACAACAGGGGGGGCACTTTTTTTTCTCAACATAACTTTAAGTATTAAAAATATTCATTGAAAGGCAGGTTGGCCTCCCAGTTTATACTACGTTAAAGTGATATTATGGAAATATAGTATTGTATGCATTTAAAAAATGGTACTGAAAGAAGTCGACACCTGAAAAAATCCCCCTCCCCCTAGAAATAGGATTTTCGAAATTGGGCAATGTTTTGTTTTGTTTTGTTTGTTTGTTTGGTTTTTTTTTTTTGCTTTTCAACTTTTCCAGCGAAGTAACAAAAATTCCCTGGCTGCCCTCCCCCCTTTTCAAAAACGATGCCACGTGCCTGGAATTCCTATTTATCCGTGAATATACCCGTAACGTTTATTAACATTATATTGTATATTCACATCAGAGCGGGGGTATTACTAGTGAGTATTGGCTCACAGATTTCTTGTTAGGCGTTGAAAGATTTTCATCCAAGTCATCCCATTATGATAGATGTTCAATGAAAAAAAAAATGGAGTTAATGAAAGTCTTGACAAATCCTTGGCTACATTGGGCCGTACATTGGGGGTAACCACGCCGAAAAAAAAGAAAGACAAACGACACGTGCATGCGCCAGTGGGAGACACTGCTTTACTAAATATAAAGGAATTTGCAACTTAAAATCATTGTTATAATAGTCCTGGCTACAATGGGATTGTTTAATACCGTAACTGTTTCCTGTTAGCTATTTAAGAGTCATTCTCTGTAAAAACCAAAGATTCCAAGGAGGCCGTTAAAACGAATGTCTCCGAAATACGTAATTTTTTGTATTTAGAGTGTACCCGGGTGTCTAACTGAGAAAACCACCTTAGTTCATGTTTTGGGATTTTCGTTGCCATGGCAACCGTAACTAACGGAAATACGGCCATTTTGACAGGTTCTATTTCATAAAATATAGCATTTTTAACCCCCACATTTTTTTTAAACGCGAAAAATATGAACACTTTCAATAATATAATTTATTTTAAGCATTCTTATATAACTAAAGTAATTAGGATTTAAATCTTTAATCTGAGGTGTTTCAAGCTGACAGGAGGCTAAAAAAATCAAATTTGGTGCTTTTTTCAAAATACAGAAAAACCTATTTTACTCCCTATTTCAATTATATTTATCTTTTAATTCCAAGATAGGTTTTTTAAACTTCTTGTTTATTCCAAATATCTATACTATGGTCTTTCATTTCATATAGATTCCCAACATGTGTTTTTCAGATAACTCGGGGAATATCAAAATGAAAATGTCCCATAATCCCGAATTTCCTCAAATACGGATTGGAAAACTGCGTTATACATTGTATATAGTATATTTTGTAGAGTTTGTTTTTCTCTTTTGAGGACATTGTTTATGTAAAACAACCTTAAGAGAGAATTAAATGATAAAAATGAATAAAAATGTATCATTTTAGGGGCGGATAGCAACACAGAAGTGGTTACCAGGGCAACCATTCAAGGGAATTTTTTTTCATTTCATGTTTTTATCGGTTCAAAATCACGTTTGTGGCTGAATTTTAACAATACTGAAGAGTCTATTAATCATGCTACTTATCCATTTTTAAATGAAATGTAGGTATAGTAAAGATATAAATTTAAGTAAAACACAGATATTTCAATTTACCCCCCCCCCCCCTTTTTTTTTTAATGAGGAAAAGGCTGGGGATTAATGACACCTGTTCAATGACTCAAATTTTATCTTCTTCAGCTATTAAACGTATTTGTTACAAATTTAGCATAAAAAAGAGTCGATGAAAAGTTCATTTATTGATTCTATCAAAACGTAAGGCTAAAGTCAAGAGTTCAAAGTTAACTGAAGAATATATAGTATAATTGCTTCTCCACATTTTCAGGAATTGACTGGAGATGACCTTAAGTCAGGATTTCTTATTACAGAAACAGAATGCTATGAAGTACAACATGTTTAATCCAAAATGGGTTAAATGGACAAAAAAAACAATTGATAACTGAAAATAAATCTGAAAATTAAATGATTATCATTATTTTTTCAAAGAAAATATAAAAGATTATGGTGTGCGGAGGAGGTTGGGGCTAATTAATTTTTTTTATAACTTTTTCAATTTGTATGGATACTTTTATTTCTTGCAATATGTCATTCAAAAAGTAAATTTTCTATGTGTTTTATAACACCTTGTCACAATAATTGTGTATATTAAAGCTCAAACATTATTTCATATACTTGTAATTGATTGACACACAATGAAGAATTTCAAAATATGTATGTATACCTTAACACAAACCATTCACAGCAACATATCTAAATAATTTGATTATAGAGCTCATAAAATTATAATACCAGCAGAATAAGGACAACAAAAGTAAAATGAGGCAATAAATAATAAGAGTTCAAATCATTAAGATTTTCAACTTGATTACATGCCAGTAAGAGGTAATTTCAGTTGGGGGGGGGGGGGGGGCAGGGGCAAAACCAAACATTCTAAGTTAAAACTACCAAAAATTTATAGAGATCAAAATAAGGACAAAAGGTCAATAGACGCATTTACTGAGAGGGCACAAGCATATAGTAGCTATGTTTTTATAGTATTCTATATATTGGCAAAATATTGGGGGGGGGGGGGGCAAACGTTGGTCATATTGTGAAAAATAATGTATATTAATTTTCTATGAAATACTAAAGAGCCACTAGCAGGAATAGTAGGTCACTGACATACTTAAGTGAATAATTACATAGATGTACAATAGGTGGTTTTTCGCTCTTATCAATTAATATTTTTGTCATCCAAGTAAACGTTATCCTTAAGCCTTAAAAATAATAATAGACACTTTTGACATAGATTTCTTTAATTTTTCATTTTTCTGTCAATTTTTAAAAATTCAATAATTGTAACAAAGGATCTAATTATCATTTTACATGCAATGAGACTACTGTTTATACACTTTTAAAAATCTTTTTAAAAAATTATTTGAAACATATTCAAAGTAGTGCATAGTGGACCCATGTTATTATGCATGAATAACTTCAGGATAAGTGGTCAACACTTCCCTCAGGTATAATATTAGGCAAGACTTGGATTTTCTTCAGATACTGTAAGACTCTTCACTCTTTCTTTGATGTTCTTTGAGAGAATAACAGCAGTCAGTTTTGTCATTATATTGTTGTAGAATAATTTAGCAGACTTAGTGTAGGTGTCCCACCGGTATCTCCCATTCTCTGAAAACTCTCACTAATTTTCATCAGATAAAGATTCATTTGCTGAATGTCATGACTTGTCATGACTAAATGTAAAACTCTGGCTTCTTGAGTTCTGTAATAGACAATACAAATATTTAGATTTAGATAATGCAAGACATAAGTTAAAAATCACTACTGGAACCAAATGGATCATGAAAACAATTACACTTGTACATGTAACAGGTCATACATCCTCTCTACACCAGTGCAAAATGATTTTTGGACTTTGCGAAAATTATATTGAATAAAGATGTAAATAATAAGCTTATCTATTTCATTGTCAATACATGATACATGGCATTTACCCCCAGAAAAAATGTTCAAACACAACACAGTATCAGTAGAAATAATTGCTATTTACTTCTATGGAGAAGATACATGTAAATAACATGTTTATAATTTATAGTTTAAACTATCTTGCCCTTTTAAAATGTTAGGAATACTTGATTTGATTATAAACTGAGTAATATACTGTAAATGTACATTTATTGGCATTTTAATCTAAGGGCAGATCACTCAACTGCCAATCTAATTAAAATTAGATGTTTTAGATCCGTCGCATACTCGCTTCACTTACATCTAACAACATCCCATTGAGGGTTACGTCAGAGGTCAAATTCGGAATGGCTCTAGACTTATACGCTTCAACAATACACGATGATCTTGCCAGCTCCGATTTGATTGGTTGACTAAATTTGACCTCTGACGTGACCCTCAATGGGATGTTGTTAGATGTTAGTGTATATATGCGAGTATGCGAGCGGATTTAACATCTAATTTTAATTAGATTGCTCAACTGCAAAACAATACAACAGAATCGTAACTCTAGAGTGTTCAGTGTAGAGAGGTTTCTTAAGGAAAGTGGTACAAACTTTTGTCAAAAATTTTGAAAATAACAACTTGGGTTATGTTTCAATGAATTAAATGAATAAGTTTTTTTACAGTGTAGTTATTTTTTAATTTCTTATTCAAAGTTGCACAAAAATGGAATTTGAAGTGAAAAATATTTGTATAGAATAATACAGATGATTTCAGAAGGGTAGAATTTGGAACATTACAGAGCGTTTACATGTCTCATATGTAATGCATCAATAATACATGTACTCCTACATTCTCTCACTTAACAGTAATTATGCTTTTATAAGTTTTGAAAAGTGGGTCAATAATAATAGTTAATGTATATATGGAACATGAAAGCTGTATCGTCTATCCTTCAAAATTTATTACCAATGTCTAATTTCTTGAAAGATATAGATGTCAAGGATATTCATAATTGGGTCAAAATTATAGTACATGGACACTATACCTCTTTATGATTTGGTTTTAATACGATGTTGAAATCTCCATGAATGATCTAAATATCTTCCCCTTCCTTGTGATGCCCCTCACATGGTCACACAGCAGCATGCTACAATAAATTGTATATTTTCATAAAAATAATTAAATTCCTTACAGGTACTAATTAATGCACAATTATATAAGAATGAGCTGTTAACTTGTTTGCCATTCACCACATATTTAACAGTACTTTTTATTTAGTTTTGTATGTTGACAGGTCTAAAATAAATAACTGTTTACAATAATTCATATTGGAGAAAGTCTTTAATTTATATCTTGTTAAACTTTTAATGCATACATCATTATATAGTGTTCAAGATGAACAAGGAAAATGAAATTTACAAGGTCAAGTCCAAAGATGATTTCTTATTCTACCCACATAACTATTAATAGCTAAAATGTATGTAGGTTAAAGCTACCCAAAGTAGCTATTTTACCAATTTCTAAGACCTACATATGTAGGTAGAAATGCTTGAGTATAGTCTTTGGACTGTACCTGTTTCATAGGCGTCCGAACCGGGGAGAAGGGGGGGCTAGAGGGGCTTAGCCCCCTCTTTTTTTCAAAATATATACTTAGTATAGACTAAGCCCCCCCCACTTTTTTTCCAAATATACACTTAGTATAGACATTGAACATTGTTTCGTAGGTTTAGCTCCCCCACTTTCCACAGGCACATTGCAATAAAGATGAAAAAAGGGGAAAAAGGTGGTGTTTGGGGAAAAATTTGGTAATGAAGTTCGAATTGACACCCCCCCCCTTTACCTTTTTTTTTTTTTTGCTTGTCAGTTTTTTTGAGAAGGTATATATATATATATATATATTTTTTTTTACACTTAGCCCCCCCTTTCAATTTGCTTCCAACGCCAATGTGTTTACATTCATTTTGATTCAATTCTTTTTCAATAATTTCATCTACTCATAACTCTACGAACAAATATTATTATATTGTGTATCAGAAATTGTAGCTACTTACGTGTACATGCATGGTGTATAACACTGGTAGCGTTGCACCAGCTTGGCCAATCAAATGACCTGCTTTCACATTTTCACATGTTCTGTTTGGAGGGGAGTTCTCGGTCCATCTCCTCTGGTGTTTTCAATATGTAGGTGGGAACTTAGAAGGTTTGGAATTTGACATAACTTCCTTCTTGACCTCTTTGTATTTCATTTTGAAGAAAAGTTAAAATAACGTCCACATTCGATAGTCATTCACTGTATTTAGCAAGTGTAACACACTAACACATGGCATACGACCTACTTCAGACAATACATGGCCATTGCTGAAATTCACGAGTTGTTGAATGTCTTCAGAATAAACAATATCACATCTGCCAAGGAAGCTATACTGTATAATCTAAGCAGTTTTGTATAAAAATATCAGTAAAACACATGGTTTGTGAAAAGGAACTCCAAACCGGCAAAACGTCATGCTTACAAATACTTTTGTTTTTACCTTCTTTCACTGTCGGAACTAGAGAGTTCTACAAAGGGAGATAATATTTTTGTGAAATGCTAGTTTTTTAATATTTTCAAATGCATTTTATTTTTTTAAATCAAAAAACACACATCCAGAATAATTATGAATAAATAATCAAGTATGTTTGCTTTCAAAAAATTGTTAATATTTTATAAACCTATCTTGGGATTTTTTATAAAATGGCACTGAAATTATGGTTATTTAGCGTGTTGGTTAAGGGTTAAAAATGGGAGGAAATTAAATTTCTTTAAAACAAAAAGGGGTGTTAGTGATGAAGCAAAATAATTTTTTATCTTTACTTCACACCTTGTTTTCACAATTTAATGCACTTAATCCAACCATAATGCATTATTTATTTTGAATTTTTTATGTCAAATTAGGAGAAAACTGACCTTTTCAAACATGGGAGTAGCCACAAAATGTGTTAGGGGGCCATAACCTGGAGGATAGGTCACATCCCAAAATTTTAAATATATCTAATTAATCTCATACACATTCATAATTTTTTCATATATGTTTTATTAAAATCTGTGGTATTCGTTTGAACGGCATCTGTGGTCCTTACAGAGAATGACTCTTAAGAAACCTCTCTACACTGAACACTCTAGAGTTACGATTCTGTTGTATTGTTTTGCAGTTGAGCAATCTAATTAAAATTAGATGTTAGATCCGCTCGCATACTCGCTACACTAACATCTAACAACATCCCATTGAGGGTCACGTCAGAGGTCAAATTTAGTCAACCAATCAAATCGGAGCTGGCAAGATCATCGTGTATTGTTGAAGCGTATAAGTCTAGAGCCATTCCGAATTTGACCTCTGACGTGACCCTCAATGGGATGTTGTTAGATGTAAGTGAAGCGAGTATGCGAGCGGATCTAACATCTAATTTTAATTAGATTGGCAGTTGAGTGATCTGCCCTTAGATTAAAATGCCAATAAATGTACATTTACAGTATATTACTCAGTTTATAATCAAATCAAGTATTCCTAACATTTTAAAAGGGCAAGATAGTTTAAACTATAAATTATAAACATGTTATTTACATGTATCTTCTCCATAGAAGTAAATAGCAATTATTTCTACTGATACTGTGTTGTGTTTGAACATTTTTTCTGGGGGTAAATGCCATGTATCATGTATTGACAATGAAATAGATAAGCTTATTATTTACATCTTTATTCAATATAATTTTCGCAAAGTCCAAAAATCATTTTGCACTGGTGTAGAGAGGATGTATGACCTGTTACATGTACAAGTGTAATTGTTTTCATGATCCATTTGGTTCCAGTAGTGATTTTTAACTTATGTCTTGCATTATCTAAATCTAAATATTTGTATTGTCTATTACAGAACTCAAGAAGCCAGAGTTTTACATTTAGTCATGACAAGTCATGACATTCAGCAAATGAATCTTTATCTGATGAAAATTAGTGAGAGTTTTCAGAGAATGGGAGATACCGGTGGGACACCTACACTAAGTCTGCTAAATTATTCTACAACAATATAATGACAAAACTGACTGCTGTTATTCTCTCAAAGAACATCAAAGAAAGAGTGAAGAGTCTTACAGTATCTGAAGAAAATCCAAGTCTTGCCTAATATTATACCTGAGGGAAGTATTGACCACTTATCCTGAAGTTATTCATGCATAATAACATGGGTCCACTATGCACTACTTTGAATATGTTTCAAATAATTTTTTAAAAAGATTTTTAAAAGTGTATAAACAGTAGTCTCATTGCATGTAAAATGATAATTAGATCCTTTGTTACAATTATTGAATTTTTAAAAATTGACAGAAAAATGAAAAATTAAAGAAATCTATGTCAAAAGTGTCTATTATTATTTTTAAGGCTTAAGGATAACGTTTACTTGGATGACAAAAATATTAATTGATAAGAGCGAAAAACCACCTATTGTACATCTATGTAATTATTCACTTAAGTATGTCAGTGACCTACTATTCCTGCTAGTGGCTCTTGAGTATTTCATAGAAAATTAATATACATTATTTTTCACAATATGACCAACGTTTGCCCCCCCCCCAATATTTTGCCAATATATAGAATACTATAAAAACATAGCTACTATATGCTTGTGCCCTCTCAGTAAATGCGTCTAATGACCTTTTGTCCTTATTTTGCTCTCTAGAAATTTTTGGTAGTTTTCACTGAGAATGTATGGTTATGCCCCTGCCCCCCCCCCCCCCCCCCAACTGAAATTACCTCTTACTGGCATGTAATCAAGTTGAAAATCTTAATGATTTGAACTCTTATTATTTATTGCCTCATTTTACTTTTGTTGTCCTTATTCTGCTGGTATTATAATTTTATGAGCTCTATAATCAAATTATTTAGATATGTTGCTGTGAATGGTTTGTGTTAAGGTATACATACATATTTTGAAATTCTTCATTGTGTGTCAATCAATTACAAGTATATGAAATAATGTTTGAGCTTTAATATACACAATCATTGTGACAAGGTGTTATAAAACACATAGAAAATTTACTTTTTGAATGACATATTGCAAGAAATAAAAGTATCCATACAAATTGAAAAAAGTTATAAAAAAATTAATTAGCCCGAACCTCCTCTGCACACCATAATCTTTTATATTTTCTTTGAAAAAATAATGATAATCATTTAATTTTCAGATTTATTTTCAGTTATCAATTGTTTTTTTTGTCCATTTAACCCATTTTGGATTAAACATGTTGTACTTCATAGCATTCTGTTTCTGTAATCAGAAATCCTGACTTAAGGTCATCTCCAATCAATTCCTGAAAATATGGAGAAGCAATTATACTATATATTCTTCAGTTAACTTTGAACTCTTGACTTTAGCCTTACGTTTTGATAGAATCAATAAATGAACTTTTCATCGACTCTTTTTTATGCTAAATTTGTAACAAATACGTTTAATAGCTGAAGAAGATAAAATTTGAGTCATTGAACAGGTGTCATTAATCCCCAGCCTTTTCCTCATTAAAAAAAAAGGGGGGGCGGTAAATTGAAATATCTGTGTTTTACTTTTATATCTTTACTATACCTACATTTCATTTAAAAATGGATAAGTAGCATGATTAATAGACTCTTCAGTATTGTTAAAATTCAGCCACAAACGTGATTTTGAACCGATAAAAACATGAAATGAAAAAAAATTCCCTTGAATGGTTGCCCTGGTAACCACTTCTGTGTTGCTATCCGCCCCTAAAATGATACATTTTTATTCATTTTTATCATTTAATTCTCTCTTAAGGTTGTTTTACATAAACAATGTCCTCAAAAGAGAAAAACAAACTCTACAAAATATACTATATACAATGTATAACGCAGTTTTCCAATCCGTATTTGAGGAAATTCGGGATTATGGGACATTTTCATTTTGATATTCCCCGAGTTATCTGAAAAACACATGTTGGGAATCTATATGAAATGAAAGACCATAGTATAGATATTTGGAATAAACAAGAAGTTTAAAAAACCTATCTTGGAATTAAAAGATAAATTTAATTGAAATAGGGAGTAAAATAGGTTTTTCTGTATTTTGAAAAAAGCACCAAATTTGATTTTTTTAGCCTCCTGTCAGCTTGAAACACCTCAGATTAAAGATTTAAATCCTAATTACTTTAATTATATAAGAATGCTTAAAATAAATTATATTATTGAAAGTGTTCATATTTTTCGCGTTTAAAAAAAATGTGGGGGTTAAAAATGCTATATTTTATGAAATAGAACCTGTCAAAATGGCCGTATTTCCGTTAGTTACGGTTTCCATGGCAACGAAAATCCCAAAACATGAACTAAGGTGGTTTTCTCAGTTAGACACCCGGGTACACTCTAAATACAAAAAATTACGTATTTCGGAGACATTCGTTTTAACGGCCTCCTTGGAATCTTTGGTTTTTACAGAGAATGACTCTTAAGGAAAGTGGTACAAACTTTTGTCAAAAATTTTGAAAATAACAACTTGGGTTATGTTTCAATGAATAAAATGAATAAGTTTTTTTACAGTGTAGTTATTTTTTAATTTCTTATTCAAAGTTGCACAAAAATGGAATTTGAAGTGAAAAATATTTGTATAGAATAATACAGATGATTTCAGAAGGGTAGAATTTGGAACATTACAGAGCGTTTACATGTCTCATATGTAATGCATCAATAATACATGTACTCCTACATTCTCTCACTTAACAGTAATTATGCTTTTATAAGTTTTGAAAAGTGGGTCAATAATAATAGTTAATGTATATATGGAACATGAAAGCTGTATCGTCTATCCTTCAAAATTTATTTCCAATGTCTAATTTCTTGAAAGATATAGAAGTCAAGGCCATTCATAATTGGGTCAAAATTATAGTACATGGACACTATACCTCTTTATGATTTGGTTTTAATACGATGTTGAAATCTCCATGAATGATCTAAATATCTTCCCCTTCCTTGTGATGCCCCTCACATGGTCACACAGCAGCATGCTACAATAAATTGTATATTTTCATAAAAATAATTAAATTCCTTACAGGTACTAATTAATGCACAATTATATAAGAATGAGCTGTTAACTTGTTTGCCATTCACCACATATTTAACAGTACTTTTTATTTAGTTTTGTATGTTGACAGGTCTAAAATAAATAAGTGTTGACAATAATTCAAATTGGAGAAACTTTTTAATTTATATCTTGTTAAACTTTTAATGCATACATCATTATATAGTGTTCAAGATGAACAAGGAAAATGAAATTTACAAGGTCAAGTCCAAAGATGATTTCTTATTCTACCCACATAACTATTAATAGCTAAAATGTATGTAGGTTAAAGCTACCCAAAGTAGCTATTTTACCAATTTCTAAGACCTACATATGTAGGTAGAAATGCTTGAGTATAGTCTTTGGACTGTACCTGTTTCATAGGCGTCCGAACCGGGGAGAAGGGGGGGCTAGAGGGGCTTAGCCCCCTCTTTATTTCAAAATATATATTTAGTATAGACTTAGCCCCCCCCCCCCACTTTTTTCCAAATATACACTTAGTATAGACATTGAACATTGTTTCGTAGGTTTAGCTCCCCCACTTTCCACAGACACGTCGCAGTAAAGAGGAAAAAAAGGTGTGTTTGGGGAAAATTTTTGTACTGAAGTTCGAATTGACACCCACCCCCTCTTTTTTTTTTTTTTTTTTTTTGCTTGTCAGGTTTTTTGAGAAGGTATATATATATATATATATATTTTTTTTTTACACTTAGCCCCCCCCCTTTCAATTTGCTTCCAACGCCAATGTGTTTACATTCATTTTGATTCAATTCTTTTTCAATAATTTCATCTACTCATAACTCTACGAACAAATATTATTATATTGTGTATCAGAAATTGTAGCTACTTACGTGTACATGCATGGTGTATAACACTGGTAGCGTTGCACCAGCTTGGCCAATCAAAAGACCTGCTTTCACATTTTCACATGTTCTGTTTGGAGGGGAATTCTCGGTCCATCTCCTCTGGTGTTTTCAATATGTAGGTGGGAACTTGGAAAGTTTGGAATTTGACATAACTTCCTTCTTGACCTCTTTGTATTTCATTTTGAAGAAAAGTTAAAATAACGTCCACATTCGATAGTCATTCACTGTATTTAGCAAGTGTAACACACTAACACATGGCATACGACCTACTTCAGACAATACATGGCCATTGCTGAAATTCACGAGTTGTTGAATGTCTTCAGAATAAACAATATCACATCTGCCAAGGAAGCTATACTGTATAATCTAAGCAGTTTTGTATAAAAATATCAGTAAAACACATGGTTTGTGAAAAGGAACTCCAAACCGGCAAAACGTCATGCTTACAAATACTTTTGTTTTTACCTTCTTTCACTGTCGGAACTAGAGAGTTCTACAAAGGGAGATAATATTTTTGTGAAATGCTAGTTTTTTAATATTTTCAAATGCATTTTATTTTTTTAAATCAAAAAACACACATCCAGAATAATTATGAATAAATAATCAAGTATGTTTGCTTTCAAAAAATTGTTAATATTTTATAAACCTATCTTGGGATTTTTTATAAAATGGCACTGAAATTATGGTTATTTAGCGTGTTGGTTAAGGGTTAAAAATGGGAGGAAATTAAATTTCTTTAAAACAAAAAGGGGTGTTAGTGATGAAGCAAAATAATTTTTTATCTTTACTTCACACCTTGTTTTCACAATTTAATGCACTTAATCCAACCATAATGCATTATTTATTTTGAATTTTTTATGTCAAATTAGGAGAAAACTGACCTTTTCAAACATGGGAGTAGCCACAAAATGTGTTAGGGGGCCATAACCTGGAGGATAGGTCACATCCCAAAATTTTAAATATATCTAATTAATCTCATACACATTCATAATTTTTTCATATATGTTTTATTAAAATCTGTGGTATTCGTTTGAACGGCATCTGTGGTCCTTACAGAGAATGACTCTTAATATATACCGTAAATCTGGAAATTTTTGCTGTAGATAAATTTTTAGCAAATTTGCGAGTTCATTGAATTCGCAAAAATATTTTTCTTAAAAATAAATTACCAATAAGGAAATGTAAACAAAGCAGTGGTCATTCGCAAAATTTTGAAACGTAAAAATTAATCAACAGCATTTTAACCCGAATTCGCAAAATAAAATCGACGTAAAAAATTCCAGATTTACGGTACATCGACGATAAATGTAAATGTCGAGTTGAAGACGACAGCACGTGTATTCTTCTTATGTTATTGGATATTTTCTGCTTTATAGGAGTATAAAAATAGGTCAGCTTAAAGCCATATATGGCGTAACTGATCAAAAAAATATATTTTTGACAAATACAAAATTGAGTAAAGAAATACAGTTAATACATTTAAATAAAAATTTTTCATACAATTCTGAACACGAACAACACTTCTTTTCAACTAATAATACGATTTTATCTACTATGTAATGTGTTATTTAAATCTTTTGTATTTTCTTCCGAGTCGGAGAAAATTCCGAGAATCCAAATTAAATTGTGATATCTTTATAACGCAATTGACTTAGATTTTGTAATTTACAGAAAAGTTCTATCTTTATATAAAGTAATGAAACAAATAATAAGTTCTTATAATTTTAGTCTAATAATTTTCATTGTACATACGCCATATATGGCTTTAATCATTTGGTCTTCCCACTCTTGGTAAGGATTTTCTATTACATGTAGGTCACTTTTTTCGATTGAGCGAGGGGACTGGACTACTATATTCTAGTTTGTAAAGTAAAGTTGACAATGCAGTCCTGCATATTACATATTCAATTATGCAATATCTGTCTCTTATAAACGGTGAAAAAAATTTAAATTTCGCACTGAATGTGTTTTTTAATTCCTATTATGTCATTTGTAGTTTTAAGCACATTTTACTTCCTCGGCAACCAATCTCTCACCAGAGGGCGTTTTTACGCTCCGCTCCAACGTGTAAGCGGAGCGCGCCCTCTGGTGAGAGATTGCCTCGGCAACTATGGCGAGCTCCGTGATAAACAATATCATTAATGTGTTTGGAAAAGACGCCTCTGCATGTTTTACAACGTTTGGATTTCTTGCAGCGTCATATTGGGCGCTTAAAGTCACTTTTAATGTAATCAAAATCTTGAAATCACTTGTTTTTGCTGGTTCAACAAATTTTAAAAGTCTAGGATCCTGGGCAGGTAATACCTTGTATCAACTGCATTAAATTATATTTATTTACTCATTCCTCAAAAATTTACTATTTGATTTAAGCTTTTCAGAAGTAGAAATAATAAGGGTCATGTATAAGTATTTTCATCCTCGCTAGCCAAGGGTGACGATCCACGGTGTTTCTCTATTCACTTTCTAGAGGAACACCGTGGATCGTCACCCTTGGCTAGCGAAGATGTAGTATTTTAAGCAATCACTGCTTGTATTTTGAATAACTGCGCACTAAACATTCTATTTGATATCGCCTTTCGGTTCTGAGGGTATCAAATATGCATGTTTTATAGCATTCTTTTTTCCGAATTTAGCCAGGCATTACATTCAAGGTCTCTAAAGACATGGACTTTAACAACCCAGACCAAGTTACTACACTCTGAGAACTACCCTATGTACAATGCTGTATATGTGAGGAATCAAGTCTTCCTCTTAACAAAAATCCTTTATTTTATTATGTGTATCATACAATACATACACAACATACTGGTATTAGAGGTTGTGAAAACGTGTTTAGGTAAATTGTAAACAATCATTATTTCCGGTTAAAACCATGTCTTGTTATAAAAGAAAAAACGGTGTAATTAATTCTGATTGTAATTTATCTATTATAATCATAAAGTCAAAAACTAATTCGAGAGGAAAAGTAAGTCATGCAGTCTGGACTGAAATTGTCTAAGACCGAGAATAAAGCCGTATAAAACGGTGTGTAACAAAAAATTAATTGACAGCTATACATGTGCCTGTTATTTTTTTTCATTGAAACAAGTCTAGATGTAGACATGATTCAGATGTTTGTTTTATTTAAAAACTTCGACAGAACTCATAAATGTAGGACAACTTAGGTAATGATAATGTTATGAAAAGAGATTTCAGTCATAATGCACATTGTGCAACTTTTTATACCCCCCGCAAACGAAGCTTGGGGTGTATAGGAATCACCTTGTCCGTCTGTCTAGCTGTCTGTCTGTTTGGGTAAACGTGTCCATATCTTTCTTACAGAGGAACCTTAGAATCTACTTCTTCACACGAAGATTGTTCATGACCTTGACACAAGGTTTATTAGGGAATTTCAAGGTCACTGAAAGACAATTTCATAATTCGTGTCCGGTCCATATCTTTCTTATGGATAAACCTAGTACAGGTGTAAGTTCCCATTTCACATAAAGATTCCCTATGACCTAATATGCAAATCAAAGACGTTGGTTGTTTTGTTCCATTCAAATCATATAAATTCAAAAATGTGTTTGCAGATTTAACTGCTTTTTATTTCAAGTTTATTCTGCATAAATTGGCATTGTAAAAATACGTACTCATGCATCTAAATTTCTCTTCCAAACTTGCATTTTTTTTTCTTTTGATTCAAATCAATAATCATTCAGATTTATGATTAATATGTTGTTATACCCCCCGCTTGAAAAGCGGGAGGGTATATAGTAATCGTTAATTCCGTCCGTCTGTACGTCTGTCCGTCCGTCCGTCTGTCTGTCCGTCCGTCTGTCCGTCCGTCCGTCTGTTACGCTTTGGGGTACCCATCTCTTATCCGCAACTCCTCCCATACCACTGAATGAAATTTGATGAAACTTTCATAGAATCTTTATTACATATTGCCATTGTGCACCTCCTATTTTACTTTTTGATCTGACATATATTTTGGATTTTCCAGAGCAAAACATGGACACTGCCATTTTATTCAAATGGGAGGCGGGGGGTATCATTTAGTGAGCTCATTGCTCACAGTACCTCTAGTTTATTTTGGTTTTGAAATGTCTTGATCACCTCATGTGTTCTCATATGCTTTACCATCGGAGATGTGCACAAGTCGATACCCAAGCCAAAAAATCATTCAAGTGTGACGAGCGCATTGGGGTATATATCGTTACAATGAGACAAGGTATCTGAAAGAACTAGAGGTACTGTAAGCGATGAGCTCACTAAATGATACCCCCCGCCTCCCATATGGTTATAACTGGTGAAAAAGTCCATGTTTTCCTGTGGCCGGGAAACCCAAAATATGTGTCGGATCAAAAAGTGAAATAGGAGGTGCACAATGGCAATATGTAATAAAGATTCTGTGAAAGTTTCATAAAATTTCATTCAGTGGTATGAGAGGAGTTGCGGATAAGAGATTGGTACCCCAAAGCGTAACAGACGGACGGACGGACGGAATTAACGATTACTATATACCCTCCCGCTTTTAAAGCGGGGGGTATAAATATGGCGGAATACGGCTATACAGTGTAGTTGGTATGAAACAAGTCGTACATAGATGAAACTATTACGTTTTTAAGAATTCATGTCAGCTTTAAACAGTATACAGTCAATCAATCAATCCATTTTACACAAAGATTGCTAATGACCTGAGGGTGAGTCGTGACTTGAACCAAGGTCATTAATACAAGTCAACGTCACTGACAGAAAAAAAGTTCATTATTCGTGTCTGGTCTGTATCTTTAGTATTTATTTTTTTTATTAGTCTGCACCTTCGTTTCATTCATACAAAATATAATGAACAATTAAAAATGTTTTTCTCTCTTCTCTTAGATCCAGAAAATATTAATGATTTGGCGCATTCTCTGTATCCCAGCGGGGGGTATTCGTCCTTTTATAGGACAGTTCTAGTTTTGATTGTTTCTTTCTTTCTTGACCAACCCTTTCAAGAGAGTTGTATTAGACGCCATCACATGCCGGTAGAGGGATGCAATTTTAGACCTGTACTCGGCACTTAAGACCTTTAAACAGTAAGAATCGTTTTCAGGCCAGCACGTACTGCTACAGGGCATCTCGATTCAGCCGGTTTCGTCTGAAAGACCGTTCTCCACGTCCCGCAGTCGGATTCGAACCCGCGATGTTAGGAACAACTCTTTTTCCAAGACCAAGGAACAATCGATCTAACCACTGTGTCACGTGGGCGACTATGCAACTATTGTCATACCAATTAAAATAAAACAATATATATTTATACCCCCCGCTTAAAAAGTGGGAGGGTATATAGTAATCGTGATGTCCGTTTGTACGTCCGTCCGTCCGTTACGCTTTGGGGTACCCATCTCTTATCCGCAACTCCTCTTATCCTACTGAATGAAATTTAATGAAAGTTTCAAAGAATCTTTATCACATATTGCCATTGTGCACCTCCTATTTTACTTTTTTATTCTGCACATATTTTAGGTTTCCCATAGCAAAACATGGACATTGCCATTATATTCTTACCTATGACGTCACATATGCCGGCTTCTGAATAACATTTGATACGACAAGTTATTCCTCTTTACACATTACCGTAAAACAATTTATTGTAAAACATGGACATTATGGGAGGCGGGGGGTATCATTTAGTGAGCTCATTGCTCACAGTACCTCTTGTTATACTTCAAATAATTTATGAGTACCTAATAACCATGGTTGCTTTGATACTACAACTCCTTTATAGTTCATTTTCTTGAAGATGTTGATGGCTTTGAAAGAGGTGTTTGAAATAAATTTAAAGAATACTGGAGGCAAAGAGAAAGTTGATCTATCGTTAAAAAGGAGAAATCTTTATAATTGTTACATACAAACAGGATAAAAGGTACTGCAAGAAGGAAACAAATTGAGGATGAATCAGTTATATGTCCAACCCACATAAAATTTTTGGGAAAAACTGGGATTAATGTCTATATTTTACACGAAAATATGAAAACAATAGAATCTGTAACAATAGTAATTGAGCTGTAAACTAGCATGACAGATTTTAATATTAAAATTATTAAACATTGTCGATATGTTGCATTTCTTTCCAGTTGTTACTGGTTCAACAGATGGAATAGGAAAAGGATACGCAAAAGAAGTATGTATATGTGTATATTTTTAATAATTACAGACTTGTTGATATTTAAAACAACATATATTTTATATTTTCTTTAAATAGATTTAGATAAAGAATAATTTTAATTGATAACAATATCTATCTGTCCAATTTGTCTGAAAATATTTCCTTCTATATCCTCCCGAATGATATTGTTTTCTTATTTAGTTTTATAAAGGTCTTTCATCTTCAGTGGAAGACCTTTCTGTTATTCTTAGGTTTCTTTTTCACTTTTATGATTTTTTTCTTACCGATTTTGTGCACGCAATTTCTCGAAAACGGCTTGATGAATTTTCATGAAACTTGCAGGACTTATGTATCATCACTTGAACCTTATGCGTCTTTTTTTCTTTTTTGATGACGTCACTATCGGTCTGAAATATTGCCGATTTTATGAATTTTAAAGGTCGGGTTGTCCAGAGTTTTTCTGAAAAATGGGTTGAGATAGAAACATGAAACTTTCAGGTATGGTAGACCTATGTCTGTACATATGCCTTTCGCATTTTGTTTTTTTTTTTCGGAAACGCCGCACGTCGGCGCTCGCTATGGCCCGAAAATAGTCCTATCGCGAATTTCAAATTTTGTTACACCTTTTCTAGGGATGGGTATCGCCAAAAATTTCGTATCCGATATATCACGATTTTTTCCCTACAATATCACGATAATATCATGATATTTTTAAAAGCAGTTTTTTTTCAATGATTTTATTTGAAAAGTCATTATTTTTCTAAAAAATATGTTAGAAAAACAAAATTTTACTTTCTTGAAATTTTTATGCATATAAAATCAGTTATGTTTGGACGGTAAGATGCCGTTCTTTTCACTTTTTACAACATTTTTTTATACTTCCTGAAATTGTAATTTGAAAGATTGAACAAATAAATGAATAATTTCTGGACTTTATAATATATACGTAAATACCGGTATCTAGGTCTCCGTATCACGATACGTATCACGCAATAAAAAATCGCGATATACTGGTATACCGATAAAATCGCACATCCCTTACCTTTTCTACGATAACTATTTATCTGGAAATATTTTGTTAAAACATATAAAACAAAAGAAATGTAAAATTCCAAGATCTTTCAAATGATATGTCGAAAAAAGGGCTGGCCCCTAAAATTAGGGGCGTTGAAAGAGGGTCGAAAGTTTTTTCTCTATATCTCAAAAAGTATTGAGAATTTGTAACACGTCAAAGAAGCGAAATTGTTCAAAATGTCAAGCTTAATCTATTGGAATCGTCAAAATACGTCCGGCGACGTCACTTCCGGCCGGAAGTAGTCGGAAAGCGAGTATTTTTGCCGTTCTTGACAAGTTTATGGGTAACATTTGTCACTGTGAGCATAAAAATTAATTTTTCCGTCCGTCGTCGTCACTTCCGGTGAAATCGGAAATAGCAAAAACTGGCTTATTTTTGCATCAATCAACATAGATATATAGGATTTAAACCAATTTTGGGGTTATTACTCATTTTTTTAAAAAATGAAAGTTATTTCCGGTCAAACAGGACGGAAGACCTACTCGTTGCTTTGCAACGAGCTTTGCTCTATTTATTGTTTTTTCTTACCGATTTTGTGCACGCGATTTCTCGAAAATGGCTCGATGAATTTTCATGACACTTTCAGGACTTATGTATCACCACTTTAACGTTATGCGTTTTTTGTCTTTTTTGATGACGTCACTTCCAGTCTGAGATATTGCCGATTTTATGAATTTTAAAGGGTCGGGTTGTCCAGAGCTTTTCTGAAAAATGGGTTGAGATAGAAACATGAAACTTTCAGGTATGATAGACCTATGTCTGTAGATATGCCTTTCGCATTTCACTTTCTCCGGAAACATCGCACGTTGGCGCTCGCTATGGTCCGAAAAAAGTCCTATCGGGGATTTAGAATTTTTTTCACACCTTTTCTGCAATATCGTTTTGCATGTTAATAGTTTGTAAAGACATAGAGAACAAAAGTTGTAAAGAATGTCACGATCTTTCAATGGATATCAACGATAAGGGGCTGGCCCCTATATGTAAGGGCCGAAAGTTTTTCCTTTAAATCTCAAAAAGTGTTGAGAATTTGTAATACGCCAAAAAGCAAAGTTGCTTAAAATGTCAAGCTTAATCTATTGAGGTCCTCAGAATACGTCCGGCGACGTAATTCTCGGTCTAACCGGAAGTAGTCAGAAAATTCTTATTTTTGCCTTCTTGACATCTATTTAGGTAACATATGTCACTAGATGCATAAAACTTAATTTTCCGTCCGTCGACGTCAAATCCCGTCAAACAAGAAGTAGCAAAAAAATGTATTAATTTTGCAACATTTAACATATATTTGGAGTATTTAAACCATTTTTGGACGTCATTAATCTTTTTTTTTTAAATGAAAGTTACTTCCGGTCAAACAGGACGGAAGACCTACTCGTTACTTAGAAACGAGCTTTGCTCTAGTTTCTACTAATAATTGTTATATATATATTTAAGATATATCGACGAGGTTATCAATTAACAGTATTTACAGTATTTATTTTCGTTTCTACGTTGATTCAATATACATATCTGATTGACTTTAAATAAAAGATACCATAGAGTATGATACATCTGTTTCATATTTGGAAATTTTTCTATGTAAGCACGCGTGGTTATCGAACAACATTAATATTGTAAGCTTTATAATAGGGATGGCAATCGAATACATAATTGCTAATCGGTTAATCGCAAAACGTTCCGACCGGTTAACCGGTTAACCGTATCAAAATATGCATTTCCTTGATGTACATAACTCTTTCTTCCTAATTATAAGTAGATCTATAATTTATATATACAAGAAGCCTAATAAAGTCTAGTTGTTATTTTCTTGATTATTGCTTTTAAAAAACAAGGTTAGATATTTCATTTTAGTTTTGATATAGACTATGAACAAATTAAGAAAACCACAAATCATGTCTGAGAAATCTGAGTGATTAAAATTTTTCCAATGCAGATCGATTTCACATACGTTCATGGTGCGTTGTCACCATAATTAAAACTAAGTCCGAAATACATCACTTAATTTACAAAGTTTGTTTAGTAATTTATTCGACAGAATAAATGCCAAAAAAAATCCAAACATACTAATTCGCAATTCTTAACGGTGATTTAATTATCATTAAAGAAATACGGGACAGTCAGGGTAAGGACTTGGTGTTTTAACAGTAATTAACACTTCAAACACAAAATGACAAATTACCCTACACTCTCAATCCAGAGAACCAAAATTACACCCAAGTCATCTTGAATATAAGGAAACACTGAATTATCAACGTTTATGCAAAGAATTATTTTTTTCAAGAATGAATTTTCTATCAAAATTGGGTTGAAATTGATATAAATTTTATTTTTTCCGACTAACCGATTACAATTTTTCTAGCCGATTGCCATCGTTCCGACTCGGTTAACCGGTTACAAATTGCCATCCCTACTTTATAATAAACATGAAGATTTTATCTTTCCTATCGTCGACTTCACTTAATTATTTAGCAGTATACATGTACCTATATCACTTGAGTTTGAAGTTTATGTTTCCCAGTTGACAAGATGCACAAAAGTATTTTTACATGTACATACGAATTATTCCTAATATTATGCTTTCATTAAAATAAGTTGAATATGATTGATTGGTCTAGAAACATTAGTTAAAAACACTATTACCCGCTGAAAAATGAAGCCACGCCCTCCAGCGTAACAACAGTCAACAGTGCTTGACGACGGGTGATATTTAAAAAAATAGCGACTGCGCAGAATTTATGCGCGCACGGTTCACTGTTATATGTATTTGTAAAACATTCAGTAGAATATAATAAATATTGCATGTTGTTGAGTGTAACATTGAAAAATTTCACCCCTCGAAAACCATTGTCAACCTCGGCTGCGCCTCGGTTGACAATGGTTTTCTTGGGATGAAAATTTTCAATGTTACACTCGACTACATGCTATATTTATATAATAGCAAGCGAGTGAAACTGTTAAAAAAGGATTCGATGGAACATGAACAACAGTTTTGTTTAATTTCGACATTTCGCAAATTCTATGTTCGATTCGATGGTCCTGTCTGCAAATGCAGTTTGACATTGGATCTTTTTTATTCAATTAGTGTATAATTTACACAATGAATTTTCTACGGATGTTTTTCCTTGGCCCGAGCATGCCATGGTGGATTTAACTGGTCGACGAGTGATGCTTACTCCTCCAATTTCATCTAGTCGAACCACTAATGTTGTTGAGGTCCCTGTTTGCTCTGCTCCAGGTTCGTGTTGTTATACCCCCGCTTGAAAAGCAGGAGGGTATATAGCAATCGGGATGTCCGTCCGTCTAGCTGTATGCCGTCTGTCCCACTTTTAGATACCCATCTCTTATCCGCAACTCCTCTCATACCACGGAATGAAATTCAATGAAACTTTCACAGAATCTTTATTACATATTGCCATTGTGCACCTCCTATTTTACTTTTTGATCCGACACAATTTTGGGTTTCCCATAGCAAAACATGGACACTTCCATGATACAATGTATTCATGTGGGATGCGGGGTATCATTTAGTGAGCTCATTTCTCACAGTGCATGTACCTCTAGTTATATCCCCCGCTTGAAAAGCGGGAGGGTATATAGTAATCGTTAATTCCGTCCGTCTGTACGTCCGTCCGTCTGTCTGTCCGTCCGTCTGTTACGCTTTGGGGTACCCATCTCTTATCCGCAACTCCTCTCATTCCACTGAATGAAATTTGATGAAACTTTCACAGAATCTTTATAATATATTGCTATTGTGCACCTCCTATTTCACTTTTTGATCCGACACATATTTTGGGTTTTCCGACAACAGCAAAACATATGGACTTTGCCATTAAAACTACTAGTATATGGAGGCGGGGGGTATCATTTAGTGAGCTCATCGCTCACAGTACCTCTAGTTTTAATGGAGTTTGTTTGTTATATCCAAGTTTCATTGCTAAAAAATAAAATAATGTGTTTAGTTGTCTGTAACCGTTTGGTGGGTTTAACTGGTTAACGGGTGATGCTTACTAATCCAAAGTCATCTGGTCCAACCACTGATGTTTTTAAGGTCTCTGTTTGCTCCGCTCCAGTTCGTGTTATACCCCCCGCTTGAAAAGTGGGAGGGTATATAGTAATCGGTATTTCCGTCCGTCCGTCCGTCTGTTACGCTTCATCTCTTATCCGCAACTCCTCTTATACTACTGAGTGAAATTTAATGAAACTTTCACAGAATCTTTATTAAATATTGCCATTGTGCACCTCCTATTTTACTTTTTTATTCGACACGTATTTAAGGTTCCCCATAGCAAATCATGGACATTGCCATTATATGTTTACCTATGACGTCACATATAGAAGCTTCTGGATAACATTTGAAAGGACGAGTTATTCCTCTTTACACATTACCGTAAAACAATATATAGCAACACATGGACATTATGGGAGGCAGGGGGGGGGGGGGTTTAGTGAGCTCATTGCTCACAGTACCTCTTGTTTTAGTTGACTTTGTTATTTCCATGTTTCATTGCTAAAAATTAAAACAATGTGTTCAGTTTTCTTTAACCTTTTCCATTTGTGTTCAAGTAAAATTGATACGATTGACTTGTTTCAATGCCAATGCATGATCTAAGAACTACTTTTTGATTTCAATGAATGTTACTGAAACTTTACTCAATTTGATAAAAAATGCTCGAAAGCGACGTTAAAACAAAACGAATATCAAATATGTTATAGAAGGGTCATCCAATAAATAAGGGAATTTAAACGTAAAATATTTCAAATTACATGGCCATTTTAAAAAAAAAAGTATTTAATCAAAACCGAAGAAATTTCAAGACAAATGTTTTAAATGAAAATGTAACTTTCTCATGAAATTTTCTGTTCAAACCAGTGGAGCTACAATTTAATTCAAGTCCAGATTATATCTAAGAATGAATTAAAATATGTTTTGTACTTGAACACTATTCCAATTAATAGAAGGGATTCCTTACTTTCTTGCAAAAATTTGAAGAGCTTGTTATATTGCATACCGAATCGTCCGTAACGATCAAGTGCAATCGAAAGAAATTGTTTTTGTTAACAATTGTTAGTAAAGGGATGAGAAGTTCATATATAACAATGCTAAAAACGTTCACTTGAAATTTATTATCAGTGATGTTTAATCGTTTCTTGTTTTAGCTAGCTCAAAGGGGAATGAATATTGTATTGATAAGTCGTTCAGAAGCAAAACTTCAGGAGGTTGCCAGTGAAATAGGTAATGAATTACTTGTGTACAAATCAAGATGATTCAAGATAAATCGTCAGCATTGTCATGTAACATGTAGAGTATATGATATTTTGTTTTTATAGAAAAAGAAAGCAAAGTTCAAACAAGGATTATTGTGGCTGACTTCACTAAAGGCCTAGAGCTGTATGATTCCATTAGGGACCAGTTGGCAGGCCTGGAGATCGGTATACTTGGTAAATTAACCCTAATTTTATTTTATAGTCATCCTTTTATAACCATAGAATCATCATAATGTTGTTTTTTTTTAACTCGTAAATTTACTTACCTGGTCATTGGTCATTTGCAAAATTATTTTCAATTGTTAAAACACATTCTGACTGCACACACAAGTACTCTGAAGTTGACATCGAAAAGATGCTTGAGTTTCTGATTGACAATATCTATGTGCTTTTTGGAGACCAGGTATTCCAACAATTTTTTTGGAATTCCCATGGGTACCAATTGCGCTCCGTTATTAGCAGACCTATTTTTGTATTCATATGAATCAGAATTTGTGCACAATCTTATGCGTGAAAAGAAGTAAACAATTGCTGTGGCCTTCAACTCGACATTTAGATATATCGACGACGTATTGTCAATTAACAATGGTCATTTCCATTCCTACGTCAATACGATATATCCTGGTGAGCTTGAGATAAAAGATACCACATAGTCTGACACATCTGTTTCATACTTGGATATTTTACTTGAAAAAAGACGTTAATGGTAATCAACCATGCTATATGATAAACGTCATGCCTTTAACCTTTCTATCGTCAACTTCCCTTACTTATGCAGCAATATACCTTCATCACTGCATACGGAGTGTATATATTTCAGTTGATTAGATACGCTAGAGCATGCTATACGTATGAACAATTTCTAAAACGAGGTAAATCAACAGTCTCGTTTAAAGTCATCATTTCATCAATTTTATGGTCGATACAATGACCTTGTCAGGATATACAAGAACTGCGAACGATAATATTGTTCTGCTGCGTACCTCCAAGTCAGTTTTCAAGAGTTAACTTATTTGATGAATTTTTAATATTTTTATAGATAATTATATGGATTTTCATAAAACATTGGGAAAACAAAGAGAGATAACTCTAAAAATTTTGGTAAAACTTGTGTTTTCACAATAGAAATTTTTTTAAAAATCATCTTTCCCTCCCGTGTCACAAAAATTCCTTTTAAAGGTAATTTGGAATGTTATTTCAAAAATTCATACCAAAGCTTTTTGTGTGACACGGGGGGGGGGGGGGGGGGGGCACTCGTATATTTATTGACAAAAAACGATAAAAATGTTAACTTTCCACCAATTTTAAAGCGATTTACAACTGAAACATTATATTTTATTGATATATTCATGTTTTATTTCTTTACCTAAGACGAAAGAAAAGATATAAGGAACATTTAATCATATCTAAGACTATTTCAAAATATGGCTGAAACTCCGATTTCAATGGAAAATATCGTCTACCCCCCTTTTTTCAAGAGCTGGAATTATGGATAATTTACTGTTTAGCGCTGGTATTAAGACAATTCATCAATTACCATTGAAATGTTCTTTTTATTAAACAAAGATTTTATGGCCAAATTGCTATTCATTTTGAATGGTTCTAAAATGTAGGCAGGAATCGAGAGTTGCGTGCGTATTTATCACTGAGACAAATACTGACTGACTTTTTTCATACTAATTGTTAGTCCATTATTTATACACGGAATTGACGACGGATTTTTCCATTATTTCCCGATCATGTCAAGGAGCACACTGCGGGTGTGACCGTTCAGCAGAGGTGCTCACTCCACCATGGCACCTGATCCCACCTCTGATGTTTCGGAGGTCCGTGTTTGCTTTGTTCCTATTTTGTATTGTTTTATGGACTTTGATATGTTCCGTTATCTCCATATCCTTTTTTTACTGATAGAACAATGAGGGTTTTTTTTTAATTTAGGATACTTGATAATTTTGAACAACAACAAAATACATTAAAATGGACGGTTATAAAACTTCTTTTATAAAATGATGGATAATGAGGAGGTTTTTTGTTCTTTGTTCTTAAATGTATATTGCACCTCTGTAACTAAACAAGACGCCAACAGGCCTTATTGTTCACTTGTATCATGTAACAACTTTCCAACAATTGAATTGGTTCGTGTTTAATCAAAGGCCATGAAATTCAAAATTTTGAAAGAGACACTATAGCTTATCATAACTAGTGCTTACTTTGGTTACTTAATATACAGATTCAGATTAGAGTAACAAAGAGAAAATGCATTTCCACTTTATAACCAGTTGTGCACCGCACCCCACAGGAACCACCGACCCTGGGGGCTCATATTTCAAAATTCTGGAAATTTTATAATTATAGATTTTATTTCATCATAAATGGTTGATTAATATCAAAAAGCAAATTTCAAAGCATGAATTTATTTTCAGACTATGTAACTCCCACCCCCATCCAAAGTTCCATGACCCAGGGGCCCAGAAATTAACCAATTTCGAAGAGGCACCTTTCATCATCATTAATATGTACTTAGAACATTGGCATAATACCCAGGAGCAAAGAAAAAGGGTTTTCGAAGAATTAATGCATTTTCACTATATAATCATTAGAGCCACGCCCTAACACCAAAACTCCTGACCTAGGGGCCCTGAAATACTAGTATACAAATCTGGAAGAGGCATCCCACCTCATCATAATATGTAGATAGTTTATTGGTTTAATACTCAGGAGCATAGGAGATTTTTAAAGAATTAATTTATTTTCACTATATATAATCAATAGAGCCCCACCCTAAACCCTAGAACCCCTGACCCTGAGGCCATGAAATTCACAATTTGGAAGAGACACTCTTATTCAACATAACTTTGTACTTGGTTAGTTTATTTAAAACTCAGGAGCAGAGACGAAGATTTTCAAAGAATTTATGCATTTTCAATTCACGATCAATAGAGCCCCTCCCTAACACCAGAATCCCTGACCCCGGGGCCATGAAATTCATAATTTTAGAAGAGGCAGTCTTATTCAACCTAACTTTGAATCTGTTTTGTTTATTGAATACCCATGCAGGAGCAAAGACAAATTTAAAAGAAATAATGCAGTTTCACTATATACATTTAATCTATATAGCCCCGTCCTAGCACCTGAGAAACCCTGACCCAAGCGCCATGAATTTCACAATTTTGATAGAGGATTCAATGATGATTAAAATCATGCAAACAGTTTGGCTGCTTAATGTACAATAGTAAAGAAGATTTTTAAAGATTGCATTAATTTTTATGGTTATGGCCCATGAAATTCACAATTTTTGTTCCCCTTTACCCATAGATGATATATGCCAAATTTGGTTGGAATTGGTTGAATAGTTACAGAGAAGAAGCTGAAAATGTTCCAATGTTACAACGGACAAAAACGGATAGAAATAGGTCACCCTAATAAATGTTGATCAAATTGGGTCGTCTTTTGTCCATCTTTGCCATTTTTACCGTTCACGGTAGCCTAGTGGTAGAGCGTTCGCTTCGTGATCGGGAGGCCCGGGTTCGATTCTCGCTCGTTCTCGTGACTGTTCCTTCGCCAAGCGCTCGGCATCAGAAGTGAAAGTCACGGGTCTTTCGGATATGACCTTAAAAAGGTAGGTCCCGTGTCACGGTAGACGCTTGCACGATAAAGAACCCTCACTGCTCAATGGTCCTGAGTGCCCAGTATAGGTCTGAATTTGAAGCCCTTCACAGGCATACGGTGACGTCTCCTATTACAGTGAAAAATTCTCGTGAGGGACGTTAAACAACATACAATCAATCTTTGCCATTTTTTTACCATATAGTAAAATAGCCCATATGATAACATTGAATTTGTCGACATTTTCAGCACAAATGAGAATTAAATATTTCACCTAGATAAAATGCCGCTGCATGAATTTGTATCAGCATTACAGCATACATGTAATTTTTTATCACAATCCATTATCATTTACAATAGATATTTGTTTCTATGCTTTTATTATTCTTAAGGAAATTTTCTTAATTTTTGCTCAGAAATGTTCTCAATCTTTAAAGATTTGGCATTAGTAATATACAAGTACAGGTATCAAAATTTGGCTGTAAAACAAAATATATTCTTGCTCTTTATATAAACATTTTCATCCAACCCGTACTTAAATACTGATTAGATTTATCTGATAATGATAACATAAATTATAAATATATCTTGTATCCTCCGGCAAAATGTACTTTCAAGGAAATCCTTTTTTTCCCTAGCCTGCTATCATTTTTTAAATAATAGTAATCTATCATTTAAATCATTCATGAAACCGTATAAGGTAAAAATAGAAAACATTCATTTTTTTTCTAATTGCAGTGAATAATGTAGGGATGAATTATCCTTTTCCAAACTACTTTTTGGAAGTAACTGATAGAGAAGAGGTATGAGAAAACTATAAAGTACCGGTATGTTCAATATAATTTTATCTGAACTGTAAAATAAAAACCTCAGATAATTTTTTATTCCCAACTTTCGCTGATGTGAAAGTGGGGATATTAATTTGGTTCTATCTGCCTGTCCGTCTGTCTTTCTGTATGTCTAGCATTTTAGTTTTCAAGCGTATCATATCTCGAGAAATATGCTTTTGCAATGTTTTTACATAGCAAATCCCTGTGACCTAAGAAAGACGCTATTGATATTGAGGTGAAACTGTCATAGAACAAGGTCATAAATTTTGTCTGTTTTAACACGTTAGTTTCCGCCTCGAGAGGTCTTTGAGCTTTTGTAATGAAATTTCCTACAAGTTCCTGTGGTCTAATGAAGATTTCAAAAAGTTAAGGTCAAAAAGTATACATTCTCTTTATAAGAAAAAATTTCATTATAGAATGTTATCTCAAAAGGTTGTTGTTAGCTCACCTGAGCTGAAAGCTCAAGTGAACTTTTCTGATCACTTTTTGTCCGGCGTCCGTCTAGCTGTCCGGCTACCTGTCATATTTGGTAATGTATTGGGTACGTCAAGTCCAAGTCCTCTTGGATACTGATTATTGGGCCCGAAAAAAGTGCACATACGAGAGAGCATTATTTAGGTAGTATCTGTTGAAATCTTATTGGGTAAAAATCCCGATCCTTCTTGGATTCCCGCCCGCAAGCACGCCCTAGACGTACTAAATTGGGAGCGGGCGTATAAACTTTATTCTGCATCAGCCCGCTTGGACGCACTAATTTTACCCCACCCCCTCCATTTTTGGAGAAAATGTTTTGAGAAGGTAAGGACCAAATATTTCAAGGTACATACTAGGTATTATTCCCTGGGACAACAAGAAATAAGCAATAACAGATCAATAAATCTGTAAATATATGAAGAACACCACCATCGTCTTTTCACCTGAATTTCCTCTGTTTTCACGCAGAAACGATATTTACAACTTTCCACTGGTACATTGTGCATTTTTTAACTTAAAGGATCAGACAGAAATCAAACACATTCAATGTGTTTATTTATAAGAATTAATTAGTATTAATTAATATTTGTATAATGATCATGCGTTTATAATTATAACGACAAAGCTACAGTGTAATATATAAACTTTTATTTAAGGGTAACATATGTTGTGCTTTTATTCAATGGTTGTTTTAAACTGATTTTTGTTTTAATTAAAAAAAACTTACTTTATATTAAATCGTACCACAACATTTTAGCCTTTTAAAATTCTTATTATAAATTAATTATAATGAGTGTTAAAAATTGCTCTTAAGTACTGAAATTAAAGACTGTATGTTTTTTTTGTCCCCCGCTTTCGCGAAAGCGAGGGGACATTAAATCTCATTCGTCTGTCTGTCAGTCTGTCTGTCCGTCCGTCACAAAAACTTTAACCTTGCCCATAACTTTTGATTTAGTGGAACTATGACTTTCATATTTCACATGTGTACTCCTTGTGAAAAGACCTTTCTTTGGTTACCACCAAATTTGACCTTTTGAACTTGGAGTTTGACCCACTTTTACACAAAAATTTAAAATTTTTACTTTGGCCATAACTTTTGAACGGTAGTTACTACGGCTTTTATATTTCACATATATATTTCTTGTGGCAAGACCTTTCATTGGATATCAACAACTTTGACCTTTTGACCTTGACCTTGGAGATTTCCGTACTTATGAAAAAACTTCAACCTTGTGCCATAACTTTAAAACGGTAAGGGCGAGAGCTTTCATACTTCAGGTATGTAATCCTTGTGAGAAGTCCTTTCATGGGATAACAAGAACTTTGACCTTCTGACTTTGAACTTGTAGTTTGGTCCATTTTTTTAAAACTTTAACCTTGGCCATAACTTTTGAAGGGTTTGGGCTAGGGCTTTCATACTTCAAATATTTAATCCTTGTGACAAGTCCTTTCATTGGATATCAAGAACTTACACCCTTTGACCTTGACCTTGGAGTTTGACCTACTTTTTAAAAACTTTAACCTTGGCCATAACTTTTGAATGGTAGGGGCTAGGGCTTTCATACTTTACATAAGTAATCCTTGTGAAAAGACCTTTTATTGGATACCACGAACTTTTATCCTTTTTTGTTGACCTTGGAGTTTGACCTTCTTTTTAAAATTTGGGTACCAATGTATTTAATTTGCATTTTCGAAAAGTTCAATCTTCGCTTTGTTGCCATACGGGGTCATCAGTGTTTCACAAACGCATTTTGTTCCTTTTAACTTTTGATTGAGAAGAGATAGGGCTTTCATATGTGTATTGACCTTATTTTTTAAAAAAATCAACTTTGGTAATAATTTCTAAATGACATATAATATGGCGTTCATATTTGAATCTCACCCACAAAGACACCGAAAGCGGGGGACCACAATTCTTTGAATTTGCTTGTTCAATTTCAATCAAAATAACAAACAAAATATACATGTGAATATACCTACATGTATAAACGTTGATATTATTAAATATTATCATGACCATACATGTATCTATGCTATCTATCAATGTATTTCAAATGTAACAAGATGTGTTTGTGAAACACTATGCGCCCGGCGGCAATAAAGTTTAAAAAACATATTTTTAGCATGTAGGTCACAGTCAAGGTCACAAGGTCATTGATCTTGGTGTCATTTGAAAGAACTTGATTAATGAAGTATGTATACCAAATATGAAGTCTCTATCTCTCATGGTTCAAAAAGTTATGGTGAAGGTTCATAAAAGCTATTTTTAGCATATAGGACACAGTCAACGTCACAGGGTCATTGACTTTGGTGTCATGCGGAAGGCCTTATTTGGAGGAGTATACATACCCGACATCACTTCTGTGTTTGAAATATCTCTTTTTACTGATAATAAAAGCGTGAAACTCATAACGAAATCTAACTGCTAAATTCAAAACAAATGTATTTTCAATTTCCGTACTTTCATGATAGCAAAACGTGAGACGTAATTTGGACTGAAAATCCGTACAAAATACGGCGAAATCGTAAGAGTAAACAGGTCTGTAATACAATGAATATTTTACATATCAGATGAGAAAAACTAACACACAATTATTTAGTTGTTGTCAATTACCCCGGTTATCATCCTCTCTGCTAACATTACGTTTGTAATACTGTCTACGTGAACAATTACTCAATAATTTATGGACAAACGATTGTTAAAATTTTCAATTCCTTCAAGTTCTCCAATGTAGATCGTCAAAACATACTGAAGTTGGTTATTATATAAAATTAAATATTTGTCACTTTACGAGTTTTCTGATTTTTACATACATATTTGTGTAAAATTATGTAATAACACCTGTGTAACACCTGTTAAACAATGTATATATATATTGTATAATTGCCTGAAGAGCCGAACATGGCGAAAGCGCTTGCAGTAAATGTTTTGTGATATTTTTGGATTTTTACTTTTAAATATACCAAAAACTGTACCGATTCTTCACTTTGCTTTGAAACTATATAATTTATATATATTTTAGTAATGTTATATGTGGCAATATATGCAATGTAAATTAAGCAATAAAGATACTACAATACTACTATCAAAGATTATGTAACAATATACGATAATTTTCTAAATACTTCTCTGGTTAAATAGAGTTGATCAAGACAGAGGAAATTCAAAATACATACTAAAGCTACTTAAAATTTATTGTTTCGATAATTATTTTAATTTTGTGCCCAATTACTGAAAAAATACATTAAAATCAATTTAACTTAAGGGGACCTATGTCCGAAAAATCTTTGTGTGAAATTTTCAAAACTTAAAGATTACTTTCCTTGCCACTTGCTTTTAATTTTTTTTTTAGGTATTAAAACCAGTGCATTATTATGCTTTTTTTTTATTTTTTTTTTTTACACAGGAACACGTACAAAAACAGTGTGAAATGCTAAAAATAATATTATTTTTAGGCATTTTTTTTCTTGATGAAAATCGACACAAAAAGAGCCAAAAATTAAAAATCAAATTCAAAATCAACATGTATTTGAATAATTTGACTTGTATCTTCATTAGTTTTCTTTAATTTTCTTATTCGTGTGTCATAAATTTCACCTTTCTGCACTAAGACAAAGGTAGGAAAACATTGGGGAATATTTGAATATAAAACTATTCTCCGGAAAACAAGTTTTGTTTTAATTAGTAACAACTTACACCGAATTAAACTTTTCTTCTTGATTCCAATCATTTGGCCCCCAATATCCCCCATAACAACTAACACCTATTAGAACTTAGGAATGGCATACAATTAAATATACAAATCAATAAGCAAATATAGCTATAAGAACATTTAAAAAAACAATTCTTAATTTTATTGAGAAAATGTGATTAAACATAGACTTAAACATATTTTCCTGATTTAAGTCGCTTTCTTTTGTTGAATTTTATTTTGTCCTTTTACCCTTATTTCAGCAAATTATCGAGGTTTTTTCACGACTGAAATTGCTTTAAATTATCAACAAACTGCAGAAAATTCTAATGTTAACAAGCTCTATAAATTAAACAAAACTGTAATTAATGATGTCTAAATTCTCTTTTTGTAAAATGTGTACGTTATTGACTGGCAATATTAGGCCTATATCAAAATATGCAAGCACCCTTAGTTAGTGTATATTCATTAGTCTGTTCAAATTTTTGTGATGTTTTTGTAATTTTTGTATATATCAATGTATATATATTCTGAAAGCAGGTATTGTGTAGTTTTTGAAAATGTTTATGAAAATATAATTTCAGTTGCCATGGCTACCAAATACACAATAATAATGCTGGAATTTCCATTTATTCAAGAATGAGTTTCATTGTGTTTTTTTATGAGCATATACATTTTTAAAAAATCTAATTTAAAGCATTTTGGTTAAATGGGGTGGGGTTTGGAAGTAATCACCAGAATTTAGCATTTTTACATATTACATGTTATCACAGCATTGATTTCGATAATGTCATCAGCATTGATTTC